GAGGATATTTTGAAACTCCTTGCAGCAAAACTAAAAAAGGCAGAGCATAAGGATGAGAAAGCAAGACCCTCACCCAAGATCGAAAACACGACGAAAGCCATTAAGCCACAATAGGAATTGCCCAGCACCCCTTTCAGAACCCAAGCACCTTCCTTGCAGTCCAAACTTCAAAGTCACAGAAACCAGGGAAGCTCAGATATACAATAAGCAAGAGGTTGACCAGATTAGCTCAGATTTGCATTTCCTCTTTTTTTATTGTTACCGTTATTGTCAGAGTACAACTTGTGTACAATGAGGTTGGCTGAGCCTCCCTTCATGCACCCCTCCCCCCAACTCAACTCACAGTGAGGACAAAAGTCCCTAACCCACCGCCAATCTTACTACACTACGTGACCTTCTTGCACAAAATGCCAGCCTGGCAAGTCTCTCATACTACATTGACCTGAAGTTATTTTCCGTTCAGGAGTCTGGCAGCCCTGCAGCCAGCCACGCCAGGACCTGGCAGCGGGTCAGGCCAAGGAAGCGCTGCCAGGGGGTGCAGGGGTGCTCAGCTGCCTCCCACATGGACAGCATTTCGGCAGGCTCCACTTCGTGCACGCTGAGGAGCACCTCCCGGTAGCAGCAGGCATCAGGCGGGTAGCGGGTAGCCCCGGCCATATGGTCCAGGTGGCGCGGGGCAATGCCAGCATGGTGGGCGCACAGCGCCACATACACATCCTCCACAGGCAGCAGTGGCAGCAGGCGGGCAGCACCAAGGACAGCAGCAGCGGCTGGGGCAGAGAGAACGTAGGCAGTGCCACTGCAGTAGGGCGGGAAGGCAGGTTCCGGGTAGAGCCAGATGGGCACGTAGTGCCGGCTGTAGGGGTTGCGGATGGGTGCACTGTGTGAGTAGACATAGCCCAGATAAGCAGCAAGTGGGCTGGCCAACTGCTCCAGATGTCGGGCCAGGGCCGGCAGGTTCAGGAAGACGTCATCATCGGTCTTGAGCAGGAAGCAGGCGGTGGGACAACGGGTGGTGGCCCAGCCCAGCATTGCCAGTGTCTTCAGGGTTAGGTTTGTGTAGGTGTCGGCAAAGCGCGCCTGCAACAGGTCCCCATGCTCGGCCACCTCGCGCTCCAGTGCTGCCTGCTGTGCCACATCTCCCGGCAGCCCCACTGTGAAAACCGTGTGCACACTGTGCCCCCCTGCTACCCGCGCACCCCCCCAACTGCGCCGCACCCCCGCACGCCGGGCCGCATGCCCAGGTGCACTGGCCACCAGCACCAGTAGCCAGGGGGCGTTCAGGGCACAGGGCGATGGGGAAAGCGGGAAGGCATTGGGGGGAGGCTGGAGCAAAGTGTCTGTGTATTGCTCACCCACACCGCTCCCCATCCGGGGGTCTAGCGAGAGGGGGTCCTCACGGCGGAGGCTGGCCAGGAAGCTGAGAACCAAGAGGGTTGCCAGGCCGCACAGCAGCCCGAACAAAATCTGGGTTGAGCTGCACCGGGAGCGCTTCCAGCGGG